CCTGACAGTATTTGGTCTCGTTGTTGCTCGCGCTCTAGTCCTATTCAGCTCATCAAAAGTGACTGGAAACATTACTGCTAGAGACCCCAAGTCGACGGATTTCTCTCAAATTGAAGCTCAGTGTTGTACGATACCACTAATTACACTGTCGTAAATTGCACGCGATTTTCAAGTCATACTGACTTTGTAGGTCAGTCGAACGCACACAGCTCCATATCGGTACATAAATATGGTAACCCTTCATTATGTATCACTCAGTCAAACAACCAGTTTCAGTCTAATCCTGATCGTCAGATTTTGAAACAGAAACGATTGACAATCAGGCCTTCAGTATGACTCTTCATTCTAAGGGCAACAAAACCTGCGAATATTTGAAATTTGCACATAATTTTCGTACGTTCGAGCCGATGGGTGATGGCTGGCTAATTGCAGCCATAGTTCTCAATGCCAACATGGTCATCACTTGAGGTGTAGTGGTGGATTTCACGATACTGTTGTCCCGAGCCATCTTAGATGGAGTTGCGAAAAGTCCATAATGACTAGAGGATATTCCCTTATTTAGACTTCACCCTCATTTCAAGTTTCATTTGGAATGCACTCGTCAATTTCAGTGGAAATTTAGCCGATGTGACCAGCCGAACCCCTTTCTGCGCAAGACCAAATTAGATATTCTCAAGCTACTGTACTCAGTGAATAAGCAGTTGCTCATATTTACGGTCTGTCTGAATTCGTCACCATTTGTTTTTGGCTAACCGAGATTCCGCCGAATACCATTTCGATTCAGCGCTAATTTCTACCTTATCGACCGCTGTCTTCTCCATTTTCAATGACTGTTTATGAACTTTTGTGATTCTAATACTTGTTCTTGTTTCAATTCTAACCGAAGGAGCTCTAAGTGTTTCGCTACCATCAGATTTTCTCAGTTAGGAATGATCCAATTTCTTGCATAATCCTAGGATTCAGGTCTGTAAACAAAGTTTCTTGCCTAATGTGATCCATTTAGTCATCTATCTCTCATCTCTAAAACCGTTGTATCACTGAGATCTTAACGCCATAAGCTTAGAAGGCCAACTCTACTTGTTGTGTATTATCCTGTTTTGACGGGTTATTCCCATCTTTGCTTAATCCCCCTCTAGGAGGTGGCTGCTGTTGGCCTGGTGCTTGTGCTTTGCCCCTTGAGTGCAAACTCGGGACAGCCTGTGCTAACCGGAGGCCCTTCTGTCTTGGGTATGCATGTCCGGTCGCTGTCTCATTGGGCCCCAGCCAACATCGGACCATATAGTCAGGCGATCTCGGTCCGATTGGATCGCAAGGGTGATTTGAACGACGATTATGCTCAAGAACAGGTATCGACAATTATCACATTCTACTCCGGCCAGATTGGCCTTGTGCCTGAGACAATGGCGTTAGTTTGTCGGTATCCGGTTGGTCCCGATATAGATGGTCAGTGTTGGCTTGCTTTGAGACATTGCCATCGCTTGATCAAGGTGAGTTTCACGCTGTTTTCTTTGCATTTTCGTCCGCTCAGTTTTCATTTCTATTTCTATTTCTTATCGACTGTAATAAACATCAACTGAGAGCTTGTGTTTACCTCCAATTTTAAGAAAAAGCTGGAGCACATGCACAGATATGCGATAGTTTGTTATGCGTAACAGTTTTTTTTAAAAGCCTTTCGTACACTATTGGTTCTCAATCACTTGACAACAAGATTAAGGATCATCGTAAGTTCTTGTTTTTCTGTTGTTTTCGTTGAAGCCTGTTCCGCACGCCAGTTCTACTCAGTCGATCAAGCTTGTCGTGAATGGACAAGTGCTTGTCTAAGTTGCAGGTGCCTTGTATGCCTCAAAGTACGTTGTATTTCTTTTTTTTCGAATTCCGTACCACCGTAACTTTTCGGAGGGCTTTGTTTCTGTTGTCGTTGGGTTCCTGCCGTAGATAATATTCATAAGTCCATGGT